CCAAATAAAGTGTAATTAGGCACAAAGCTTGGTCAAATACCAAGTAGCAGAGTAGGATGGCCCCCTCCTTTTTATCTTAAACTTCTTTTATGTCATTGTTGTTTTATAATTCTAATCCCCTCCACTGTCTTATATTATCATGGCCTAAAGTAAGTAAAATAAGTGGGGATTTTATTAAGCTGAATGAAGTTATTAGAGGGATGACAAGAATAATAACACAATTTATGAGTCATTAGGACTCTGGGAATATATAATGAGCATAGAAATGTGAGATGAAAAAGATTAAAGAAATTGTGAATTTTAACTTTGAGGCTTCATACTGTATAAATGTATTATAATGGCCTAAGTTGATGAAAGCATAGAATTGCTATTTATAAAGAGTATCCCTGTCTCTATTAAAAATACAAAAAATTAGCCGGATGTAGTGGTGCATACCTGTAATCCCAGCTACTCAGGAGACTGAGGCAGGAGAATCACTTGAACTTGGGATGTGGAGGTTGTGGTGAGCCAAAATATTGCCGTTGTACTCCAGCCTGGGCAACAAGAGCAAAACTCTGTCTCAAAGTAAAAAAAAAAAAAAAAGAGTAGAAGAGCTATGAGAATCAGTAGCTTGGTATTGACCATATTAATTGTGAAATGACTATAGACGTTAAATTAGATGTGAAGGAAAAAGCTGGAGGGTTGTAGACTGACATGCTAATTTTGACGTTTAAGAGATTTAGATGATGTTTAACTCCATAAGGTTGAATAAAAATGGTTTGGAAATTTTTATATGTAGAAATGAGAAGAAAGTTAAGGTCAGTATCCTGGGACATTCTATTATTGAGAGATTGAGAAATGAGCAAGCACCAGCAGAAATGGAGCCAGAAATGTAGGAGAGAAATCAGGAACTGAGTTATCCTGGAATCCAAACAAGAAAATATACTAAGAGAAAAATCAATAGATACCTGCTACTAGCAATCACATTTTTTTTTTTTTTTAATTTCTTAGCATGTTTTGCTCTCTTCATTCAGAAAAAGGGATAGTGGTGGTATTGTCATCTCTCCACCTTTAAGATACCTTTAAGGCTGGCACAGTGACTCATGTCTATACTCACAACACTTTAGGAGGCTTAGGCAAGAGGATCACTTGAGCCCAAGATCAAAACAGGTTTGGGAAATATAGCAAGACCTTGTCTCTGGGAAAAAAAAAAAAAAATTTTTTTTTTTTTGAGACTGAGTCTTGCTCTGCTGCCAGGTTGGAGTGCAGTGGCACGATCTTGGCTCACTGCAGCCTCTGCCTCCTAGATTCAAGAGATTCTCCTGCCTCAGCTTCCCAGGTAGCTGGGACTACAGGCACATGCCAGCATACCCAGCTAATTTTTGTATTTTTAGTAGAGACATGTTGGCCAGAATGGTCTCAATCTCTTGACCTTGTGATCCGCCTGCTTCGGCCTCCCAAAGTGCTGGGATTACAGACATGAGCCACCAGGCCTGGTCACATTTTGTTTTTAAAAAAATAGCCAATGTGGTAGCATACGTCTGTAGTCCCAGCTACTTGAAAGGATGAGGCAGGAGGATTGCTTGAGCCCAGAACATCAAGACTGTATTAAACCATAATCATGCCACTGTACTTCGCCCAGGTCGCTGAGTGAGACACTGTACCAAAAAGCCAAAGAAAACAAAACCCACATCAACAATAAAAAGGATTCAACATTCAAAAAGGTTCCAATTAAAAATCTCCTGTCACACTGTAAAACATCAAGTTCTCTTCACTTCTTCCCTCACTGCCTATTTAATGTCTGTACTTCCTTCCTTTATTCCATCAATAAATTTAAGTATCTATCTATGGAATTTGAATCATGCAATTTTATGTCTACTAATGGTTAATAACATTATTTAAGTAGAAAGGTAAATCTTGTTATTTAAATCACATTACTTTTTGTTATCCTTAAGCATTTCAAAATTCAATTAATTATACTAATGTTTGCTATTTCCACTTCACACCTAGGTGAGTATTTGTTTTTTGTTTATTGAGGAATTACCTCTGATAACTGGCAGTTATCTAAATGCATACAACAATCCTTGTACTTACATAGCAATATATGACATAATTTCGTATTTTTTCTATTTGTAGTTCTCTATTGTTTAGTTATGGCTTCAAAATTCAAAGCATTGCCCTTTTGTGGATAGTGGTTATGAAGACTGAAACTGCCTTTTATAAAACCTGCATCCTTTTACCTTAATAAATTTTAATTCATTATTCAGGTGAAAAGGTGTTCAGTTAGATCATAGCATAAATCTTTCTGCTGTTTCACATTTAGTGACACTATTATAGGGTTGAAATATAGCTAAATAGTGAATCTTGGTTAAATACTATACTACTACCTCATGGGGTTAATCATGAATAGCACATTTTTAAAGCAAACAATATATTTATTAACAATTGAATTTTTAAATTGATAGATAAAATTGTATTTATTGTTTATGATACGATGTTTTCAAATATGTGCAGACTGTGCATGTCTACATTTGAATACTAGTTTAGGTTCATCACACAGCAAACTTCCAGTGCAATCTGTAGGAAATTGTATGCATTAAACTAATAGAAGCTATTCTTTTCTTATTTATTCTAGCTAATGTTGAGGCAGTTGAGAGCAGTTAAAAAATCTTGTTTATTTTTGGTATTATGTAGAACTCTTCTATAGAAGGGTACTGTTGAAATGTCAATCTAGAAAAACAGTTTTATAAAAATTTGGATTCATAATAAGTGAAATACCACAGAGAGTTGGTTCTCATTCTAAGATATGACTTCTATCCTACTTTCCAATCTTTAAAAACATAAATTATTTATTTAATTGAAATCCTACACTTTGTATTTAAGAGCTAATTTATAACCCCAAATCTAGGGTAACAGAAATGTGTAAAAAGTAAGCATTTAAGTATTAATTGGTTTTTGAAACTGTATTGATAAAATGTGTGCACAATCACATGAAATTAATTTTTACATAATCATAGTTACATATACTGAAATCTTAAAACATAATATTTCATTCATCTTTTATCTCTGGACCTGAAGGCATAGAATGCTCTAAGTGTTAATTTATAAATCTTCTACAATTTCTGCTATATTTTATGAAATGTGTAATCATGACTCAGAAATCATAAGCCACCCACTGTATTACTAAATCGACACAAAGCACAGTGTGAAATTCCTTCCTAAAAATGAGACTAATTGAAGGTTCAACACTATTCACAAATGTACAGAACCCCTAGGAGAAAATCTAGCTATTTCTGATCTTTGATGCTACAATTCAGAGGTAATGTCCAGTCAGGAGGTCGCTGCAAAAATTTTCCTTCTATTGTGGTTATTGTTGGTTAAACCAACTGAGAAAATTTTATTTAGTCCTTGCAATATCCATTTTTTATAGCTTTTGTTATTAAAGAATGTTAAAAATGATTTATATCAAAAATTTTCAAATTTCGTTCTATGGAAACTTGGAGTTTCACAGAATTGTCCCATATGCTATCAAGGGACCACAATGGGCTTGGGGTTAAGGATAGGAATGGTGATGGCAAAAATTTGTAAGATCCCATCACACCTCATCCATAATTTGTCTAGAAAGCTTTTGCTGCTGTGTTTTACATATTGCTATTAAGCTTAAATTCTGTTGTGAAAAATTGGTGAATATACAACTTATTGTTTTTATGTTTTAAATATAGTTCTATTTATTTTCTCCTTTAAGAAAGATAAACATATACTAATCCCCAAAGTGATATAAAAATGGATTTGTATGCATTTCTTAATTTTTATTTTATGTAGAGATTTCTATTTATCTATGAAAAAATTAGTTTCAAAATTTAATTTACATCCTCTAGATTTTTATAATATATATCTCCTTTTTTGGGATGTTACTTAATGCAGATCAATTTAGAACCATTTTAAACTAACATTTTTGTCTAATTATCTTATTCACTAGATCACCACCAAACTTTGGTTGTAATAAATCAATCATAGTTTTGTTTTTCATTAATCAAATGCATCTGTCAATTTTATATTCTATATATGTAGGTATTTGAAACAAAATACAGCTATTTCGCTCTATTTCTGTACCTATTTCCTGATATGCACATGAGAGAGGTGAATAATTAAGACATGTTCTCTAACTTTGACTTCAGAACACAATAGAAATGATACAAATAGTTAACATATGTAGCATCTTTTATAATTTGGATGTTATGTCACATCATCATAAAATTAATTTATTTCTCCTTTTACAAAGCATAAATGCAAAGGTGGGAGAATCACTTGAGACCAGAAATTTGAGACAAGCCTGGGCAACATGGCAAAATCCCGCCTTTACAAAAAATACAAAAATTACCTGAGTATGATGGCACATACCTGAGTCCCAGCTACTTGGGAGGCTGAGGTGGGAGGATTGCTTAAGCCCAGGTGGTTGAGGCTGCCATAAGCTGTGATTGTGCCATTGTAATCCAGTCTGGGCAACAGGGCAAGATCCTGTCTCAAAAAATAAATTAATTAATGAATAAAAATAACAATTCTAAGAAATCAAAAGTAACTTTCAGTCTATGTAATTGTCCTTAGTTGTCTTGCATATGTGCACCATATCATAAAACACCATCTATTTTAAGTGTCATTTATAAAGGAGAATTTATGCAGTGCTTCCTTGTTGGGACTCTGGTAAAATGGCAGACTCTGGTCATAGAAAATATGCAGGTGGAAGTGATTTTTCATTTCCTGAGTAAAGAATATAACCTGGAGCATAGAAACATATTCTGAGAGTTAGTTAAGTTTTAAATTAGACTTGTTTTATACTTTCAAACTTATGTTTAAGATCCTTGTAATCTTTTACTCACTTACTTTTGAGAATTTGCAAGAATTTAAGCATAAGAAATATTAATGTAATCATGATCTGTAATAAAATAAGTTGTTCTGATGTTTTGCACTTGAGTAACGACTTTACTTTTGATGTGGTATTTATCAATAATTCTATTCTATAGGAGAATGGAAGCATCAATCCCTAGAAACAGTTGAATTTGTCAGACCTAGAGATTGACAGAGGCACACGACACCAGGGTGAGTAAAGTTGTATCCTCCTTTATAGTTTTATTCCTTCTCCTTTAAAGAATAATAGTAGATTACATCTATATTTCACAGTAAGTTCAAGAACTGTGTAAGGTGTTAAATTTCCAGGCATTGCTCAATATCTTTAAGCAGATATATGTTATGTTGGATTCAAATAAGCCAGAGGGAGAGAAAAGAGTTAATCAAATAGTTAATAAAAGTCTTTCTCCAGAGAAGTGAAATACCTGTTGTTTCTCTTTTAATACATTTAAAACAAGCAAACCTCTACCCAGTTTAGATTTATTATTCTTCATTGATTGTTTCTTTCTCTTGGAGGACATTCTGACAGTAAAGTAGTAGACACATTGCATCCATCATTGTGTGTCAAAGGGCCATCAGGTCGATGGTTCTTTTTGAACTTTGTTGTTTCAGAAAACCATAGCTGAGTATTATAGGCAGAAGTTTGACATTTTCAGGATGAAAATCAATTTTCTTTTATGTGTTTCTGAAGGAAGACTTGTGTTTCAATTGCAGAAGAAATAGGTTTTGTAACATTGGAATAACAAAATAGAAATTAAAATAAAATTTGAGTAAAAATAGCTTCAATGAAAGTGAGGGGAATTGTATTTTTGTGGTATTATAATATTTTAAATCCATTGAAATGGAATCTAAAATACAAATTTATGTAAGAAGGTATAGAAATAGAATAATGTCTACCAAATCAAGGTAGTAATGAATAAAATTTATAAATAAAAAACTCAGAACTAGAACAAAATGCTTAAAGAAATCAAATATTCTTAAGGAAGAAATATATAACTGTAATTTATAATTTATGATATCTGTATATATCTATATATATGTTGTGTGTATATAAATGCCTGATTGCTTATCATACTTGCTTAATTTATATCTTGCTCCTGGCTCCAGAAAAAATGACAATACTGTCTATTTTGTCCATGTATATATGAGTAGAATTTATCATAAGGCTCTGGTATAGTAGGCATTTGATAGTTTTTGCTGCTGAATATGTTAAAATACTAAAAATACAAATACTTTTATAATTTTATGGTTTTAAATGTATAAAATGCTGGTTTGTGGGGGGATTTAGTGGAGTTTTTTTAAAATAAAGATTTGAAATAACTTTCTCTTTTAGTATTAAGAAATTATATTTTAAATAATATGCCCCAGTTTTAAAAGTGCAATAGGTACCTTTCTGTGTATGTAAGACATGTCTGTATAAGTACATTTGAAAGGATTTGAGACTAAGGCTTAGGCTTCATATTTGCAACCCTAACTTTATTCCTCATAAAGCATATTTAAATTCCTATGGAACAATATATTTCAGATATAATTTTTCATGCAAAAAAATCACATGAAATTGTTTTAAAATTATGATTTCATTTTTCAATGAGTATACAAAATCATGAAAAGAATACCTGAAAAGAGAAAATGTTCAAGTCTAAAGATTCTTGCTCTTTAGAGTTCAGGTGAGTTTATCATAAACTTTGTTTAGGCCATTCAAATAAAAATGCAGCACAAACAGCTTATCATTTAATAATTAGCAGCATATAGGTTCATATGTTTTCATATGCACAAATAGATAGATGATAGATAGATAGTGAGATAGATAATGATAGCCCAGTATTGAAATTTCCAATACAAACACTCTTCATATGTGACAGTTCTCAATTCTCTACCCTTTTGTATAATAAATTCCTTGAAGAATTAGAGTAAGTCTTCTACATGTACACCTTTTCAACCCAGTTGCATGGGAAGAATGTGTACAAATGATGACTAATAAAGATGAGACAATATTAATTCAATTTCATCAGAGTTATAAAATGATAGTCATGAAAAACATAAGACATATTTAGTTTTTCCTTTTTGAGATTTCTTGGCTTTCTATTTTTGTCCTGACATTAGTATAAAGAAAATTTGTTTCTCTTCCTTGACAATTAAAATACTGTTGTTATGTAATAAATCAACCAGCACACAAATGATGAAAATTATGATAAAAACTTTGGTAATTTTGCAGAATTCTCCTCAATATGTATTTCAATTACTTAATGTTTCTAATATGTTCCTTTTTTTCACTCTATATTACTTATATATTTATCTTATAATGTTTTGTATATCTTATATATCTGTTTCAAATAATTATTATTACATTAAATCAATATATTTAACAGATAAGTTATTCAAAATAACATTTTACATGGATAGGTATTATTAATGATGTTCTCAATTGTATTGACAGGTCAAGGAAACAAAATATTGACCAAAAAGAATAGTTAAAAATAAAATCAATAAATTTTATGTTGAATAGGTGAAACCCAGTTATACCACTGGCTGACAAAATATGAGATAAAGTTTCTTCAGTATCTGTATTTAAGTACTCCGACTTTACCTGTCAGATTTTTTTTCTCATGTAAAAGCTTAAGTTGCATAATACCAAACAGGGATTGAGACTCGGACTCGGGTCTGACTCTGCAGCCATAGTAGGCTCTACCACATCATGCTGCCTCTCCACTGACAACAGGAAGACATCTGGTCTGGGGTTTTGTTACTGGAAAGGGTTCCCAACCCAGACCCCAAGAGAGGGTTCTTGAACCTTGTACAAGAAAGAATTTATTTATTAAGAAAATAAAGGAATAAAGAGTTGCTACTCCCTAGGCAAAACAGTGGTATGCGCTGCTTAACTGAGTGTACTTACAGTTATTTCTTGATCATTGCTGAACAAGGGGTAGATTATTCATGAGTGTTCCAGGAAAGGAGTGGGCATTTCCTGGAATTGAGGGTTCCTCCCTGCTGTTTTAGACCATATCGGGTAACTTCCAGATGTTGCTAGGGCATTTGTAAACTGTCCTGGCTCTGGTGGGAATGTCTTTTAGCATGTGAATGCATTATAATTAGTGTATAGTGAGTACTGAGGGATGACCAGCGATTACTTTTATCACCATCTTTTTTTTGGCAGGTTTTGGCAGCTTTTTTTACCATAATATGTTTTATCAGCAGGGCTTTTGTGACCTGTATTTTGAGCTAACATCCTATCGCATGCTGTGACTAAGAATATCTAACCTCCTGGGTATGCAGCCCTATTTTTCCCGGCCCCTCTTCAAGATGCAGTCTCAGCTGGGCGCGGTGGCTCACGCCTATAATCCCAGCACTTTGGGAGGCTGAGGCGGGTGGATCACGAGGTCAAGAGATCGAGACCATCCTGGTCAACAAGGTGAAACCCCCGTCTCTACTAAAAATACAAAAATTAGCTGGGCATGGTGGTGCGAGCCTGTAGTCCCAGCTACTCAGGAGGCTGAGGCAGGAGAATTGCTTGAACCCAGGAGGCGGAGGTTGCGGTGAGCCGAGACTGTGCCATTGCACTCCAGCCTGGGTAACAACAGCGAAACTCCGTCTCAAAAAAAAAAAAAAAAAAAAGATGGAGCCTCTTTGGTTCTAACACCTTTGATAGAATTAATAAATTTCATGATTTATAGATCTGAGGCTATGAATCTTTGTATATTGAATATAACTTTGTGAGATAGTCCTAAGTAGTCTCTTTGGAGTATACATGCATCAGCATAGTTACAATTCCTTGTGTACCTATCTAACCGCCCAATGGGTTCATCTTGCCGTAATAGACCTGATTTATCAAGATAGGGGAATTGCAATAGACAGAGTTTAATACACGTAGAGTCGGCTAAATGGGAGACCCGGATCTCAGATTGTTACTACTCAGATCAGCCTTCCTCAGAATGTGGAGGCTAGGTTTTTTCAAGGACAGTTTGGCAGGCAGAGGGCTAGGAAAACTGCTCATTGGTTGACAGGGTGTGGAAAATGATCCTTTTGGGCTGAGTCCGCTTCTGAGTTGGAGCCACAGAGTAGTCCCTGGCCTAGGTGGAATTATCTGGTTGTCAGAAATGCAAAAGTCTTAAAAAGCAAATCTTAGGTTCTAAAATAGTAATGTTAATTACAAAAACATTAGGGAAGTTGCAGATTTTGTAACTTCTGGAACAATGACTGGTAATTATTAAACTAAGACTAAGCAGAGGGACTGATAGTCAAACCTGGGTAGATTATTCATGAGTGTTCCAGGAAAGGGATGGGCAATTCCTGGAATGGAGGGTTCCTCCCTGCTGTTTTAGACCATATAGGGAAATTCCAGATGTTATCATGCTGCCCCTCCATTGACAATAGGAAGACATTAGGTCTGGGGTTATGTTACCAGAAAGGGGTCTGAATCCAGACCCCAAAACAGGGGTCTTAGCAGAATTCAGGCATCTCTCAGCCTCCTAACCTTATGGGCTTCCATTAGTTTTACAAAGCCAGTTTAGTTTCTGAGAAGGGCTATTATCATGTAAACTATAAACTAAATTTCTCCCAAAGTTAGCTTGGCCCATGTCCAGGAAGGACTAAGGACAATTTAGAAGTTAAAGACAAGATGGGTTGGTTAGGTGAAATCTCTTTCAATGTCATAAATTTTTCCCTCTTACTGTTTTTGCAAAGGCAGTTTCACTACTGTTCAGTTAAATGAATTTGATAGCTAAATAATTTGTGTACACTTCTAAAACTTCTGGAAAAATTAGATTTTGATTTAGTATGTCTTTACATCAACTTATGTTTATCCAAGTTAAAGAAACATAGTTCTTTTAGAAGAGATATAAATGAGACCAAGCATAGTTTCTAAGGGAAAACACTGAGATTAAAGAAAACATTAATTTAAGAACTATAAGAAAATGCAGAAAGTTAGTTCTACATCTAACAGAGTTTGTAATTGTGTAATCTATTCACATTAATATATCTAAAGTCTGGTATTCCTGACTCCATTTAAATTAGATTACATAATTTAAGTCCAACATCACAGATTCTCCCTCCGGTATAGTTGCAGTTGTTTTGATGTTAATTATCCACATCATTCAGATAATTACCACCTAACTTGTTTATAGTACAAGGTATGCTGTAACTTTTTATCTCAAGGAAGCTTAAGTATTCATTTTATCATGAGCAAGAGCATTTTT